TCCCCGTGTTTTCACAGAACTGCATCTGTGACTGTGCAGCACTACAAAAATTTCCTGTGAATGTGCTAATAGGCCTTATGAGAATGTTCTATCACCATCCATCTGTCACTTTTTAACAGGCCTGATTGGCAAGCACTTGTAACAACTGACATCTGTTCTCGCTTATTGATATGTAGATTTATGGTAATTGCTGTGAACAATAAGACACAAAATTACCTAAGGTGAACATTAAATTAAATTTTCATGCCCCTATCCTTATAAATAATTTTTTTTAAATCTTAAGTTTCAAGCAAGGCATACTGTGCATCTGTTTTGTACATAATTTAATTGTTTTTTTAATCTGCCAAATAACAAAATGAAAGTTGAATTTCCTTGCAATCTTGAATATTTGCCAAGCTGATAGCACATTGGTAAATAGATGTTATTAAAAATGGAATCAAACTCTATTGTGATTCTGTGTTTTTTAATCATTTCCCTTTAATTCTCAGAATCATCTCCATCATGAAGAGTTATTTCTTACCCAGAAGTTTTTGGGTTTTTTCCTCTGCAGGGGGATTTTCATTTTTCATGTGCAGCTCTGCCTATGAGGCTGTTCTTCAGCATTAAGCAATTTGCATTTCTTCAGAGAGAGGTGCATTTGCTGAGTGAGCAGCACTTTCAAATAAAAACGATCTACTCATTTGCGGTCCAGCTCTGTTGCGGGATTTGGGACTGTTTTGAAAAAGCTGGAGGATGTGAAATGTGTGAAGACAGTGTATGAAAGGGGAGAGGATGAGAGAGCAGATTAGTCCCACAGAACTATACCTTGGCTGAAGTTCAGTTGAACCAAAAATCCCCATTTGAAAGCAAAGTACTTTCTGGGTCTGGGACTTGAGAGCATTTGGTTTCCCTCCTCCCAAGTTTTTCCTAGCAAGTGGGATGTTGACACACTTGACAAGTTGAGGGGAGAAACCAATAAAGAGGGAGCAGAGACAGTAAAATGCCCGGGGAACATGAAACGGTGATGACAGGACTTATTTTTTATATGTTTGAGCAGCCAGAGGACCCTAAAGAGGATGCATATTAAGTGATAAAGCTGTTGACACAACCAGCTCTAGAGCATGCTGGATGACGGTGTGTGCCATGAGCCCTTACTGACAGTCACATTTGGGTGCTCAGCTCAGCAGGGCTCTGCTGTCCTTCACGTGTGACAACAGCAAGCAGTCTTTTTTCCTGAAGGCACCGAATCTGACACCCCGTAGCATCTGCAGAGCTGGTTTGTGGCCAGTGTCTTTGAGTCACCTCTATGGTAAAACAAACTGGGTGGAGAGACAACCTCGTCACCGCCCAGCTCTTGTTCGTTAATCTTCTTTTGGCACTGAAAATCTTTTGTCAAGTTGATGGGTTCCTCCTGTGCTTCCACAGGAAATGTCCCACTATAAAAAAACTATTTTTGTGAGATGAGGCAGTGCTGGCATTTGTTTTGCATCCATGCAGGGATGACGGTGGTTCCTGAGCCCAGGGAGAGTGGATGTGTGTTCCATTGCCTGTTGACCTTGTCTTGCTGTACGTTTCCTTGAGCGCTGTGTCGTGCGTGTATGCTGCCTTCCAGCTTCTCAGCCCTCCATGCTCATAGCCTTCTGCAGCCCTGCACGCATGGGCAGAGCCGTGCACATAAAATGCAATAGAAAAACAGTATTAAATTGCTTCGTAATCTATTTGTGTCTAAACTGAGGTTTGGAGAAAAGTCCATGCATTTTCCAGAAGCATGTGGGATTTCATCTAGGTGAAGCTATTTTGCAGTCTCTCCTCTAGTTCCGTTCTATTTTTGTTTGCCATTATTTAATCCTGCCGTGTGTACTGCTTAAAAGTCCAAATTGGAAACCTCCCCACAGAAGACATATAAGCTGATTATGACTGATCCTTCTGATGAATAACAAACCAGTGGGTGACAGAAAACCATGCTGCCATGGTGGAGAGCAACCCACTGCTTTCCCAAATCTCTTTCCCGATCTCACAAAATATGGCCTCAGTGAAGACCAGCAGTTTTTGCTGGACATTCTTTGCTGAATTACTTAGACTTCTTATGAAAGAGAAAGGTAAATAGTATTTGACGACCAAATATCAATCCAGGATGAAAACAGATTCTGTATCTCATTTTGAGAACCACTGTCTGCTTTGTTTGTGAAGACCTGGACCCCAGCTTAAGTCTTCTCCATCCCTAAAATCTTGTTTGAAAAAATGTGCAGAATGTTACTATCAATGAAAGAGGATTTTTTAATGGGAAAAAAAAAATTACACCTCAGGCAAGCAAGTAGGTCAACTGTATAATTAAAAATTAAAATTATGCTTGCATATCTGAATTTCTATCTGAATTGTACTTTTTGACTGAAAAGTTCTCAAGTTAAACCAGAAGTAGGATTTGAAAACTGTTACAAATTTCCTTACCATCTCTCATTTCAGAAATGTATTTGTTAACATGATGCTGCTTCCAAAACTTAGTTTTAGATTGATAGTAAAAATAAAAGGTTCTTTAAATATCCAGTCAACTTTTCCTGCTTTAGATGATTTTGTTCAAGACTTGAGATGCTTTAAGTAGTTTTATTCTATTAATTTAGGTAGCCAGTATCTAACTCTTTAGTATTTATAATATGTCCATGTAATTAAGGTACAGTTTTGCCATTTCAAAGTTATCTTTGTACTTTAAGATCTTTGTGAGGACCCATTTATAAGACTGACCAATTGAGCTGTGACACATGATAACTTTATTTAGTAGTTACACCTGATTGTCTAGGTTAATAATGACTTGTGACTTAGGGTAGCTTTATTGTGTCTTGCAAAACAGTTTGGGTTGGTAGTGTTTGAGAAAAAACTTATTTTTAAGGTGGTCATTAGCCTCCAAAAGAAGCCTGAAACAGCTTTTTTGGTCATGTAATTCCTCCAAGTGTGTTGTGCATATTCCAGACTACAAAATGGTGGATCTTCGATCAGCTACAACCTTACTCCTACCAAGGTCATTTTGTCACCTTTTCAAAAGCACTGACGTCTGAGCTGACTTTGGGCATTAGGCTGAGGTGCGGAAGTTAAAACCTCAGCCAAGCTAGGTGCTCACCTGAGACCTGACCTGCCTGTTGCAACAGGCAGTTTAGTTAAAATGTGTTTATTCACAAATAGATGCATATATCAATGTTCACTTCACAGTTCCTAAAGCTGGGACTCCTTATGTGGGGCTCATTGATCCAATCAACATGAGTCTACAACATACGCATTTGGAAGTGCTATCACGCTCCATTATTCGAGGAGTTACAAATTCCTAGAAAATATCTTTCCTTCATTGAATTTTTTTTCGTTTCAAACGAACTTTAAAAGTACTATGTTTAACCTCCTTTTATTTTCATCTTCTCCAAGTTGTTATTATGTTGCCCTGGTTTGACAAAGTGTGCAGCAAAAAGTAGTATCTCTTGTTAGACAAACTAATGTTCAGAAAAAAATGGACAAGTTTCCAGGCACTCAAGCTCTTCTTTGAGTGTTCCCAAAAACTCATTAAGTTTTCCCAGCTCTATCACTTGGTCTAAAAATGGTATTGCTCTTCCTACCACCTAAGGTTTTGTGTGTACTTTTATTATCGGGACCACAGGATGTAAAAAAAACTCTTCCAGTATTTTGGTTTTATGAATCTTGTCAATTCTATTGAGGGCTCAAGCAGCATCCACTGATCTCCCTTGTGTGTCCGAACCAAGAGGGATGATCTCTCACTGTCATCCAAATAATCTCTATCACATCCGTATGTAGGCAGCCAGTCTGGACATTGTCCCTGTGGACAGTTGTATTTTACTCGGAGGATCCTGAGAAGGATCCAGTCTGGTTCATGCTAGCACCTAACTTGTATCTGCATTTTAGTCTCTTGTTGAAGCACTTCACCACAGAGTAAGTGGTTAAATACTTAGTCTAGTGCAAGGTAAAAGGTATGCACTTTTGAAGGCCTCTGGAGAGTGAGACTCCCATCCCTCCAACTTAAGTCAAATGAATGCCATTTGCTGATCCTTAACCATCTTTTTTTTTTCCATTTCACATGAATTCTATTTGTTGTTTGTAAAGCAATGACAAAGTTAAAACCTTTGCTATTTAAATAAACCCGTTTCTTGAAGGTCCTTGTTGAAATGCAGGTACATCTCCCCCACATCTACTAAAATAATGAAGTGACAAATGACTGAGTAGACTTGATATCACAGTTTAGAGTTTATGGCCTGAAAGCCTCTACCTCAGTGATGGCTCTGTGATCAGACTGATATTAATTTGATGTTCTTAGTTCATACATGTTTTTAGAAATGAACCATCAAAATTAAAACCAGCACAATTATTGGCTACTGCACAGTGTGGCCTTAGTAGATATATTCAGAAAAGACACAGGAAAAAACTGTATTCTTCCCAATTGTATGACCCTGTCCTGAATGTGTTTTACATATCAGTTATCTTCTTTACACCCCCTGTTGTGTCAGGGAACACACAACAGGAAGTGAAGCACTGGAACAGGTTGCCCAGAGAAGCGGTGGATGCCCCATCCCTGGAAGTGTTCAAGGCCAGGCTGGATGAGGCTTGGAGCAACCTGGTCTAGTGGAAGGTGTCCCTGCCCATGGCAGAGGGGTTGGAACTGGATGATCTTTAAGGCCCCTTCCAACCCAAACCAGTCTGTGATTCTATGAAATAGTATTGCACCAGGGCTTCACACAGAGTTGAAACAACTTTTTCATTCTACAATTCCCTTATAGAAGCGGCATAAAACAGGTTTAATTTTCCTGAACTATAGGTTGGTACCTTTGCTGTATTCTCCCAACTCCAAGGTAGAGAGCTGAGAGCTGCTACTTGGGGAGTGTAAGAGGTGGTTCCCAAATTATACCCGTCATGATTGAAAAGAAGAATGGAATCTCTTGGCAGGGTACATCGCAAACTCCATGTCCGTTGAAATTAGATTAATTTTTGTTATTATTAATTTTAATTAACCCTGTTGCTTCTCCACACAGGCATGAACGCTTTACAATTACAGAATTTGGCAACTTTAGCAGCCGCAGCAGCCGCCGCCCAAACCTCAGCTACCACCACCAATGCAAATCCTCTCTCCACAACGACTGGTGCTCTGGGAGCCCTCACAAGTCCCGGTAAGAGCAGAGTACTTGCTTTCAACATACAAACATGAAAATAAATGGAAGATGATAGTTAAAACAATAATTCCATGTTGTGTCTAAGTTCTGAGCTTGTATAAATTCTGAAAACTCGTTTAATAGCTGAATACAATTTTGTTGCTGTTATTTTAAGCAAATAACTAGTTTTTCAAGTGGTCCAGTGTGGTCATGTTCACATTTCCAGACTTGTTTCAGGGGCCATGAAAGCCTAATGGACCCATCTTGCAAAACTCTACATGAAAATTACGGTTGCATGGGAAACTTAGGCTAAGTTTAACTTTTCAGAAAGAATTCGGAACATCCTACATAAAAAAGAGCTGAGGTGGTCCTTTTTAAAACCTGAGAAACTGATTGTTGATTCCCAGCACATCATGCACGTATTGTCTTCACCCATCATGAATTTTTGTGGACTTCTTCACTCTTTTTTCCTTCTCTTTTCCTTCCTGTAGCCTCAGTTGAGATTTCTTCTACTCCTAACTGAGCATACAGTTACAGAAGTGATATCAGATGCACAAGTACTACATAGCTAGATTCTGACTTCATTACACTAAGTAGAAGACAGATTTAGGGGGAAATAAAGGACAGGACAAGAGGTGGTGGTCCCTCCATGACCACCATGTAGACTTTCAACCATGCATGTCCAGTGTCTGGAAAACCCTAGAGAGAAATCAGAGCACATCTGTAGTTTGTTAACATTTCAGTGTCTCCAGAATCCAGAGAGAGTGTTGTTGATTCAGTGTAGTTACTCTGGGTTTACAGTGATGTAGCCGAGTCAAGAATCTGACCGCTTGTCTTTACATAAAGGCTGCAGGGTGTAATTATTTGCATCATGAAGTGTGTATATTGCTGTTCTAAAAAACATTCGTATTAGACACCACTAAAGAACATTTGTGTTTAATCTTGCTTAAGTGTGTATTTATTCCCCATGAACAAGTAATTCATGGCAGACGGTTTGAGCTCATCAGTAAGGAAAACAGTCCTCGCTGCGCAATAGAACTGGGACCGAGTGTGGTGCTGGGTGTTAGAGCTGGCCAACGCTTCCCGTTATGTTACAGTTTTATTGTTGGTTTGGGGGAGAGGTTAAATGGAAGGCAGCTTGGCTAATACCAAGGCTGAGCAGCATTTTGCTGTTTCTGGTGTGAGCCTCATCTCGACCTAAACATGATATTCATTCGCAACATCTCTGAGAAACAGGTTGGATGAAAATAATTTTGGTTTGCTGACATATATGTTTTTTTTAAATCTAAGCTATTTTTTTAAATCACTCCTTTCTGTCCTGAAGCTGGGGCTTAACGCTTCGCAAAAGGCTGGTCTCAGTGTCAACGTTTCTGCGGTACTCCTGTCTAAATGTCACCCGTTTATGGAAGCGGAAATCATGCGTTTCATGCCTGCTCTGTAATATCTCTGCAGTTTAGCTGTTAAGTGTCTGAGTATCCTGTCCTCCAAAAGCACGCTCAGCATTTCTTGAGCCATACTGACGAGACTTCTCAGGGCAACTCAACACACTGCACTGGGGTGCAGAGGGGCTGGAAATGAACTTGCCTTATTGTTGCTGCTCTGCAGCAAAGTGGCACCAGAACCTCAGGCAGCAGTATGTTTCTGGAGTGCTCTTTGTCTTGCCGTGTTAGCACAGGACTCAGATTCATCCTTAAGATCTGCATTTTCCTCTCTCCAACAGTCATTTTATCCAGCCTGTCTGGCTTGCTTTTCCCTTTTATCCTGGTCTCGAGGCTTCTTGGGTACCTGGAAGGTGGTTTCATCTGATGTCCGAGTCTGCAGAGGCATGTGGTTAGAAAGGTGCTCCAGCTGGAGTGGGCAGATGCTTCTCTGGGATAACTAGAGCTTAGTATTGCTCAGGGTGGTACTGTAGAATGGACACCAAGGTTTTTCCAAATAGATTCATGATTTTGGCTAACACATTGAAGGTGTGTTATTTTCAAGAGATTCTGAACACTTAGCCTTTGAAATAGTGTATTCAGAATGAGAATTGCTTTTGAAAGTCATATAGATTGTAGCCATACACAAGTGTTTCTAATATTAGACAGCTTGGTGTGTCAAAGAGAAAGTCTATATCTGATAGGTCCATTGGCCTATTTATGTTGCACAACCAACCTAAAATCAGGCCTTGTTAAAATGTCCTTCAGTTTAACCTTTCTTATCTGGTTCCACATTCTCCACCCTATTAAGTATTTTGTAAACCTGAATAATATCTTCAATGATTCTTCTCTGTTCTATGGAAAACGAATTTACTTTGATAAAGCTTTTCATAGTAGCTCAAAGTATTTCCATTAAAACTTGAAATATGTTGGCAGGAAACATTTAAATCTGCTTTTCAGTGTGTGGGTATTTGGAGGCCTTGGGGGTATTTTTTGGTCTAGCTTTCTTTTAATAGAACACTTCAGTTTGTTGTGTTTCATAAGTGTAAATTATTTTGTCTGATTTCAAAGCCTACACTAAGCCCAGGAAGCGATATTTGTCTCTGTCCAGATAATGCATTAAATGAGTATTTCTCAGTTCAGAAAACCGCCCAAATTTAGGAGAGTGCAAAGGTACATGCTTAAATTTAATCCTTTTCTTGATGCTGTTAAAGCTAAAAATTACTGCACAGAACAGGGGTGGGCATGAGCATGTACTTTTAATATACCTTAAACCATGGCAGCCACATAAATCATATCCATGTTTCTACCCATATATAACCATATCTCTCCTGAAGATCTCTCCCAAATCAGTCTTTGACCAAGAGCTCTTGTTCTGTCCTTTGTGGACACGTGTCAGAAGAGCCCCAAAAGGTGGTTACATCAGTTAAAATCAATCTTGCAGCTGAATTTTGCATGGATAAGATTTATCTATCTTCAGTGCATCAAACTATTAACAGAGGGGATGGTGGTCAGGCCAATTTTGATGCATTGGCAACACAGAAAAAACAGGCCAGGAAGTGAGGAACCAACAGGGCACCTGATATTTGAGGATGTCAAGTATTGCTGCTGGTTTGTAATTGCAGTGTCTTCAAACAGAAAAGAAAAATATTCAGCATCTAATAGTAACTGTTCAATGTGTATGAAACTCCTTCTTCAAGTTTCATACAATCACATATTTTTAAACAAATTAAACTGCAATGGTCTTTCTCTCATACATTCTTACTAAATAGCTTTGACCGCAAGAGAGTCTAAGGACACTCGTTCTCCTCCCTCTGCTAAATACTTTCTCTTAAGCTTGAAATAGTATTCATTCAGAAAGAACAGAGACAATGCAATCCCCCAAACTATTAATTTTTTTATAATTGTAAATTTATAATTTCAATTTTACATACCCATGGAAGTCTCTCCCTACAGCATTGTTAGAAATGATTTTTTAAAAGCCTTTGCTTAAAAAAACATGAAAGATTAAGCTTTCATTTTAGTAAAAATCCCCTCAGGCAATAAATAGGTTCTTTTGTTTCTTGGCCCTGGAAAAAAAAATTAAAATGGTTTAAATTGCCTATGGTTAAAGTAACTGTTTCTTGCAATTATCAGATGGTAGTGAATAAAAATGAAAATGAAATCATGAAAGAATAAAAACCAGGTAAATGCATATTATGTCTTTCATGAGTTTCTCACGGGTCTTTTGAAGACTCATTTAATCATCTTTCTTGTCTTTTATTTTGATATGATAATTGTTTCCTTTATTTACTTTAATCACCTCTATTTAGTTAATTAATTCTTCACTTTCTTTTCATTTCACTTGCTTAGAATACTTCCCTGTTTTAAAGGCAGGTACCTGTAGTATTTCATAACATCAGGAGTTTGGCTGGCCTGAAGTTTTACCTGGCTCCAGGTTGTCTGAGCTGCTGTATCTCAACTCCCTTTTGGTTAGACCCTGGAAGTTTGCACTTCCCATTAACTGGGAAGGGATTTTGGAGGAACTACCTCAGGTGTAGATATCGATACTGTAAATTTCTCAGTTTAGGAAGGATGAATCTCAGCTGAGTGTCAGAAACCTTGTCTTCTTCTCCAGAAACTCTCCTTGACATGTCCTACAAATGGATCAACTAGCAAATAGCTTGCAGGGAGGCTGCTACTCCAGAGCCTGCAGAGATTTACGGTTAATTCAGTAGATGGTGGGAAGGCCTGGAGGTGGATGTGAAGCAGAAACATACTCAGGATCAGAGTATCTTCCTCTAACACCGTCTGACATTTACTTTGCCTCAGTTGACCGGCTACACTAATTTTCTCAAGGCTGATAATGTTTATTCTGACTGTCCTGGGTGGTACAAGGTTGATATGGCACTGTAAAGCATTTCCTGATATTGGGAGCTATGAAGCTCCCAATCTTTTTGGAAACTGATATTAAGCAATAGGAGAAAAATGTTTGGTACTCATAGGAAGAATATAGAAGTTGGGTTTCAGACACCAGCTTACTTTTTCGTCTTGCTCTTCTCCATCACTGCATATATTTTTATTGTTTAATGCCATAACATTAGAGTCAGAGAATCAAATAGGTTGGTAGACACTTTCCAAGGTCTTTACTCCAGTCTCCTGCTTGCAGCAGGACCACTCAGAGCATGTTGATGAAAGTCATGCCCACTCAGGGTTTGAATACCTCCAAGGATGGAGATTCCACAGCCTCTGTGAGCTCATTTCAATCTTGTTTCTTAAAATTCATGCATAAATGTTTTTTCAGTAGCCAGTAGGAAAGCCCTTCTGTGTGCAAATGAATAGGCAAAACCATCTAATTATACATCCAAATTTATCTGTGTAAACATACACAATATAACTTCGGAGCTGTGGGGGGATAGAATTGCTAAACCAGGGGCTAATTCAGTTTCAGACTTAGAAGCCTTGATTTTCCATGACATTTTCATGATTATTTGATTCTCTATTATTTATTCACACAGCTGAACTAGCTATTCATGCTTCAGTAAAAAAGCTCTCCAGGATTATCTGCTGTGTAAACCTAAAAGGAAATATTTCTGCAGAAAAATTCCATCAGTGTAGAAA